AGTCACTGACGTTCCTGCTCTGACCTGTTGGATTTTACTTCTCTCAAAGTTTCTCTGAGTCTGCATGAGGGATCCAATGAATTATTTCAGTTGGTCAATTTACTCACAGAGACTTAGGATTTCACTAAATTGAGCACATTTTTCTAACTAAAGTAATCTCTTCCTCTCCCCCCACCTCAGGGAGTTTGCCCACTCTCTTCCCTCTGTCTGGAATGGTCTTCCCTCATCTATCAGTGTGGCTCACTCCCTCATCTTCCTCCAGGACATCTCAGGGAGCCCTTCCCTGACCACACTATTAAATGTCCCAGCCTCAACCTGCTTTATTTTTCTTCATAACCTTATCATCTTCTAACATACTATATAATTTATTTATCTTGTTTATTGCCTGATTGCCCACCCAGGAGGCCAAGGATTGTCTATTTTATTCATGAATTTATCCTGGGTGCTTAGAATAGTACCTAACATATAGTAAATGCTCAATAAATATTAGGTGAATAGATACATGTGTGATGAAGTGTATGCAATATTTACATGATAATTTGAGACAATGTTACTTTATAGCGCTTAATATTCTGACTACTGTTTCTCATTACCTTTACTAAGTGAGGAAGGATTTATAAAGCATTTACTATATAACAAGCACTGTATCTGGTTCTTACAAAATAAATTATTATGTAGTAGCTCCCATATTTGAAAAGCAAATAATAAGAAAGGAATGACAAATAGAATATGAAAACTATATGATTTCAGCTGGCATTGCAAAGAAGGAGACAGTGATATCCTGACATCTCCAGCAGTTTCACCCAATGTAGTATTTGCTCGATCTAGAGAATGAAAAGATGCTCCCCAATACAAGCATAGGCTTTGAAATTACACAGACCTGAACTCTAATTCCAATGATACCGTTGATTATCCAAACCACCTTCACCTAGTCATTAACTTCTCTGTGTCTAATTGATTTCATTGGTAAAATGAGGATCGAAATCTTAACCTCACAGGGAGACTGAGCTATCAAATGAGATCATCTGTGGAAACAATTAGCCAAGTCCTTGGCACATAGAAGCAATTTAATAAATCCATGTGGAATGAATTAATTCTTGATCAGTGGGGAAAAATATGACTAGAAAAATGTGGCTTTTTAAAATATATTTCTACTATGTTGTACCCCACATATTATTCATGATGATCCCTCTTCCCTCAGTATTATTGAAATAATAAATTGCATTATATATTGATTGGTTATCATATAAATTATTGTTCCCATTTCACAGAGAAGGAAGTTGAGTCTTATGCATATTAAGTAACTTGCACAAGGCCACAAAGTACACAGCAGAGTTAGGATTTCACCCCACATGAAGTCCTCTCCAAAGCCGGTTCACTTGTCTTGATCCTTACCTTAGTCTGCATAGCTATGTGATTTCCGCCAGGAAGTATTCCCTAAACCTGCAGTCTGGATAGCATACCTTTTTGAGCTCACATAGAATCTTATGCATATTTCTCTCATAATGCATGATGTTTGAAAACATGTTTGTTCCTCTCCTTTCTATACCTGGACATCACCTTCTAGAAACACCTGTTCAATATGAGTAATTGTTCCTATTTTTAGATCTTGAACAGGTTTCCACTGGGCACTTTCACAGTAAGCTCACAGAAACCTAAAAAAACTAACGTTTATTGAACACTATTTTTCTGTAGGCTCCGGTCTAATTGTTCTAGTCCTCAACTCCATACATTCCTCATAACAACCCCATATGGCAGATACTACCTTTATCCTCATATTAGAGATGATGAAAATAAAACACAATTAGGTAATGAATTCACTCAGCTTATATTCCAGGACTGGGGTTTGAACCCAAACATTTAGATTCCAGACTCCATATTCTTAATCATGAGACTATACACCCCTCATACAGCAGGACTGATGACATCTTCTTTTCCACTTTCATTTAAAAATCCTAGAAAAATGCATTTTCATAGAGTCTAAATTGTACTTCTATGAACCATGACTCCCTTACATTTGGCAAGTCTTTATTTTTCTTGTGACACTGATTTCTACAATTAGTCAAACTTTAAAAGCTTATTTAAATAAAATAGATACATTTAGAATCTGACAGAAACCCCCAAATTTTAGGTCAGTACTTACAGAGTGTTGTTAGTGGTACTGCCATACCCACCCCCACTTAGAAATACCCTACTGGTGGTCTTCATTGCCTTAAATAGGCTCCAAGCTATGCTCTTGGAAGGTGCTGGAAGTTAAACCATAACCTTGTATAAATTCAAAACCTAAAACAAAGAAACTTTAAAAAGACATCTATCCTTTTAATACCAACTTTTTAAAAAAAACTTTCCAAGTAAAATGATTTAAACACAGAGAGCCTATTTTTTATTTTTAAGAGAGAGCAAAGAATGTGTTCATGGCAAGTTGGAACAGTGTGCAAATGTGCTGACTTCACTGTTATCTGAACGACAAAGCATTAAATCACAAGAAGGAAAAAGTCAGCATGTTCTCTGAGATTACAAATAGATTAGTGTCAGGAAGAGCTTTGTCCAAGAAAGGGAAGAGACACCTACCCAGAGAAGAATTCGTGCACATGAAACCTATAATTAAAAAAAATTATTTTCAAAAAATATTTTAGCTGATAAATATTACTATTAGATAAACAAAGCACAGAAAAAGTTCCATGTGAATTTTTTTTTAAGTGGACCTTCCAAATGTGATCAGTCATCACACCCCACTCTTTACCTCTTTCTTATATAAGACCTGATTCATTAATGGTTATGGAACTCACACAAAAATATTAGATCCCTTTCCTCCCTTTTAATTATATGATGGAACAGTACTTAAATTTACCAGGCACTTAAGAACATTCCCTAAGTTGAAAGGTGTAAAAAACCCCATATCTCTTAACATATGAATTCTTTAGATTCTCCTAATGTACAATTTAAGTAAAACGTCCTCACTCAGAATTCAAAGAAAACAAGGTTCTCTTACCATATATTCCATGTTTGCTGCTGGTGGGAACACTTTGCCCCGAACTTGGTTATGATAATCAAGAATGGCGATCATGTCATTCTGCGAAATGTAGCGCTTCCGCCTGGCTTTGGGGATGTCCGCAGAATCTAGTTGTGCTTTTAGAGCTGCTTCAATATCAGTGAAATTATTGGTTGGCGGGGATGAGTCAGTGGAATTGAGTAAGATGACGGCACTTGCTTCACAGAGAAGGGAGAACAGGAGTGCACTGCTGATGGCAGAGATTGCTATCATTTTGAGAGGTGGAGAGGGAGAGGCCACAGAGTTTGCCTTAAAGCAGAAAGGTAGAGTTAGGGTCTATGAAAAGAAAAAAAAAATAGGGCCAGAGGGTATGAATTTACAAAATCATTGCTTGACTTGACTTTCTTCAAAAAATCCAAGCAAATGCTGAACTCAAGCCCAGAAGACAACCTGTAGTGGTATCTATACATTTTACTTGGTGTTATGAGGCAGTCCCCTAAGAGGAGCTTCCTATAGCTAGAGAAAAATAAACAGCATGGCTACTAACCCTAAAATGAATATGAGCCATTTACCCCAAATGCCTGAGCCACAGAATGCATTACTGCATATTTATTTTCAGAGGGAAATCTTTAGGAATTGAAATTCATCTTGAGAGTGAAAAGGAAAAATGCATCACAGGTAATAACAGAGAATGTGCTGATAATGTCCCCCAGACATATATGGACACCAAGTAATAGAACAGATAGAAAAAAAAGTTATAATAATCCAATCTCATTTCTAAAAAAAATAAAAATGTGAGCTACTTTAAAAGCAATGCATGCAAAATAAACTTGTTGAGCTAAATAGCTTACCTCTGCACAATGCCAAAATGAATATAGTATTCTTCCAAAAATTTAAAGTTCTTTGCTAGGTTGTAGCATGAACTCTTGTAAGAGGAGTGTGCCTTATTACAAACTCTCAGAGCAAAACTCTGCAAGGTTTGAGTGCTGCTGGCTACAGGAGCAGCTAACAGCTTTTATATGTCACAGTCTGCAACGTCCAGAAAGGGCAGTCTTTCTTAGGGTCTCTCTTAGCCAAAATCTAAGGGGAGGGGTTTTGGATAGAAAAAACAGTGATTGGGTGGCAACCTTTTTATGTGGGTGGTGAGGAAATTGAGTCACACCCACAGCTTACAAAGTACAAACCATAAAAGACAAACCCTTTTTTCTCTGAGCTTCCACCTTTTCTGTGACTGGTTAATTTTCCTCATTTAATGCTTTCTAGTTCCTGGTTCCCATACAAAAAAGGAGGAAAAAAAAAGGGACTGTGAGTTTTTGAAAACACAGAAGGTTGAGTAACAAGCAGTACATTTTTTTTTTTTTAAGACAGTAAATGACATGGGAGCTGAAAAGAGCAAGCTGATATTAACTCAAAAGATCAGCTCACATAGTTAATCCGGATGGCCACAAATATGATTCAAAAGAGATGCCAAGCAAATCAGTAGTAGTCAAACTATAGCATATGATATTGGGATAATAGATGCTCAAGTGGTTACATTTTCTGTCTCCATGTGGCTTTATTCCTCTAATTTATATATTTAGTCTCTCTCTATCTCTTTTTCTTGTTTCACTCTCCTTTTTTTCCTTTCTCTACAGAGTGAGGCAGAAAATTACCTGCCTTTTACCTGCCTTGTATAGAATGCAAATAGAGAAGCTTATGACAAATGACAGCAGCCAAGATAACATCTGTTTCAGGTTAGGAAGCATAGAGTTGAAATTTTAAGCAAAGAGTAGCCCAGCCTCTCAGGAAGCATATTGGAGGGCACAGCTCCGAGGCCATGAAGAATGTCACAGCAGCAGCTGCAGCTGTCAACCATTAGAAGTGCCTTCCTAGAAAGATGCCATTGGAGCAAAACCTGTGTCTGGCAAGACAAGAGCCAAGAATGTGACTATTAGGGCAATTTGTAACAAAAGGACCCTTGCAAATACCCTGTGTCATGAGAACTTTAACAAAATGTGGAATATTCCCAGTCTGTGGCAACAGGAATCTTAGAAACTACACATTATTCAGTTAAACTTGCTTAACGTACATCGACTAGTCTAGTTGGCCATTGTGTGTTGCCTCCTGCATGTTTCAGTAGGAGGAGTACTACGTGGATTTATATTTGTCGGAAAGGATGATCATGTGGTAAGAAGCACACCAGGCTGGGAGCCAAGTTTCCTGGGCTATATTCCCAGTCGTGTCTCCAGCAGTATGTGTGGCCTGACGCACATAGTTTAGCTCTTCACTGGTGCATCTAAAAATGGGAGGGAAAAGGTGTGTATTTTATATGTATTCTATTCTTCATCAAATTCCTTATGAGAGCAGGACAGTGTTTGAAACTGAAAGTGCCACTGAATTTCAAAGTTCAGTGTGGAGATGCGGTCTTTGATGTTGATAACATGCCAAAGTTCAGGTTTTGCTATATTTTCATGAGCCTTAAGTTCCTAACTAAATTCGAGTAATTTGAGAAGAGCTCAAGGTGCAATACTGAAAGCTGTAAATAGGAATTAATGAACACTGTTAAATTGAAAAGGCAAGAACATCTAATAGGAGCACAGAAGGTGAGCATGAATATTAAGAAACATCAGAGCAGCTTCAGGGAATGCACGTGGCTGCTCACAGCTGCCTGTGTTTAACAACTGGAGCTGTCCAGCTAGGGTCTCACCCCTTCAGAAAGGACTCATGGCACATTGAATGAATCTCAAGGATGCTGTGTCAGAGATTCCTGAATAGAATAGAAGGTTAGATGACATATTCTCTGTGGGCCGTCCAACTCAAAGATCCAAGACCTTTTCAGAAATAGTGCCAGCACTGATTAGCCTATACTTTTCAACATATCTCTTATAGCTGTCGAGCATACAGGAGACTAAAGGACTTTTAATGCCTAAGCAGCAGACATGAATCTTTCTTTCTCCAGAGTGGCTTAGAATCTCATAAAAATCAACCATTGCTTTCACGGTTACCTCTTTGTCATGTATACAAAGAGATATTGTTCATCTCTTGAAGTTTGACTTGAGGTACTTCCACAGGGATGAAAATGTGTCCCTCGAGAAAGTTGTCTGAACCATAAATGGATTTCCTCTACGAGAAAGTGGAGGGATGGAGGAGGAAAAAGAGAAAGAAGGAATTTCTGAGATGGACCTAAGCATGCCCAATTACATGAGGACAGAGATGATAGTTAATTAATCCTGAGACCCTGAGGCATGTCAATGATTTCAGATGTCTTTCAACAAACATGAATTATAGTGTGGAATTTCAGACTATTAAGAAAACCCCCAAGGGTATGGAATCATAAAAGAAAAGACCTGTGGGAGGAGAATTAAGAATTCTGCTTCCAAGCAGACATTATTGCCAGAAGAAGTATTTTAAATGCTTTGGAAGTCATTTTAATTTTAAAATACTTGCACAATTAAGAGGCATACATCCAAGTTGTCAGTAAAAGAACTACTAATGAACAACTAACAATGAGGTGGTTCTTTATGAGATCTCTTCTTGAAAAAGAACATTGATGTGTATAGAAACACTTAGGGGAATGCTTGCCAACATGGACAGAAAGGAAATGCAGTTATATTACTGAGAAGAAATATATAAACAATTGGCAGCAACTATTGTATACCTTGAAACCTGTGAGAAAATGGTTGCGATTTTAAAATTGAAATCAGATATATTATGTATCCCAGAATGGCACAACTGCTTAAGCAAAGGTACTGTGAGTGTGTGTGTGTGGATACAGACACACATATGGTTTTAGTCTAAAATATTTCTAATCAGTGGAGGACAAAGAAAGAGTTACACGCAAATGAGTGAAATGATTCAGTTCACTTTTTAGGAAGGTAACAAAAGGCAATGTTGATAGTGAATGACAGGAGAGGCACTAGAATAATACTAGGAAAAGATTGTGGAATTAACTTTAAGCAGTCATAATAATGGTTAAAAGGGGGAAGAAATTGGCAAGACATTTCAGGCATAAAAATCCACAGGTTTGGCCAAGCTGTGGATGTACGAAGCAAGGTGAGAAACAATAAGCAAAGGATAATTTGGGTTTCTGTCTTGGAAATGATAGAAGAAAGTTATAATTTCTATTTATATGGCACAACACAAAACACTGTCACACACACTCGGCCACCTGAACCAAGATGGTGGAGTAGAAGGGCGTGCTCTCCCTCTTGTGAGAACACCAGAATCACAACTAGCTGCTGGACAATCATCGAAAGGAAGACACTGGATCTCACCAAAAAAGATGCCCAACTTCCAAAGACAAAGGAGAAGCCACAATGAGATGGTAGGACGGGTGCAATCACACTAAAATCAAATCCCATAACTGCTGGGTGTGTGACTCACAAACTGGAGAACACTTAGACCACAGAAGTCCACCCACTGGAGTGAAGGTTCTGAGCCCCACGTCAGGCTTCCCAACCTGGGGGTCTGGCAATGGGAGGAGGAATATCTAGAGAATCAGACTTTGAAGGCTAGTGGGATTTGATTGCAGGACTTCAACAGGATTGGGGGAAACAGAGACTCCACTCTTGGAGGGCACACACAAAGTAGTGTGCGCATCGGGACCCAGAGGAAGGAGCAGTGACCCCATGGGAGACTGAACCAGACCTACCTGCCAGTGTTGGAGAGTCTACTGCAGAAGCTGAGGGTGGCTGTATCTCACCATAAGGACAAGGACACAGGCAGCAGAAGTTCTGGGAAGTACTCCTTGGCATGATCCCTCCCAGAGTCTGCCATTAGCCCCACCAAAGAGCTCAGCAAAAACCACATTCACAGAAAGATAGACAAGATGAAAAGGCAGAGAGCTATGTACCAGATGAAGGAACAAGACAAAACCCCAGAAAAACAACTAAATGCAGTGGAAATAGGCAACCCTCCAGAAAAAGAATTCAGAATAATGATAGTGAAGATGATCCAGGACCTCAGAAAAGAATGGAGGCAAACATCGAGAAGATGCAAGAAATGTTTAAGAAAGACCTAGAAGAATTCAAGAACAAACAAACAGAGACGAACAATAAAATAACTGAAATGAAAAGTACACTAGAAGGAATCAATAACAGAAGAACCGAGGCAGAAGAACAGATAAGTAACCTGGAAGACAGAGTGGTGGAATTCACTGCTGTGGAAGAGAATAAAGAAAAAAGAATTAAAAGAAACAAAGACAGCCTAAGAGACCTCTGGGACAACATTAAACGCAACAACATTCGCGTTATAGGGGTCCCAGAAAGAGAAGAGAGAGAGAAAGGACCCGAGAAAATATTTGAAGAGATTATAGTCGAAAACTTCCCTATCGTGGGAAAGGAAATAGCCACTGAAGTCCAGGAAGCACAGAGTCCCATACAGGATAAACTCAAGGAGAAACATGCTGAGACACATAGTAATCAAATTGGCAAAAATTAAAGACATAGAATAATTATTGAAAGAGGCAAGGGAAAACAACAAATAACATACAAGGGAACTCCCACAAGGTTAACAGCTGATTTCCAGCAGAAACTCTACAAGCCAGAAGGGAGTGGCATGATATACTTAAAGGGATGAAAAGGAAGAATCTACAACCAAGATTACTCTACCCGGCAAAGATCTCCTTCAGATTCAATGGAGAAATCAAAAGCTTTACAGACAAGCAAAAGCTAAGAGAATTCAGCACCACCAAACAGCTCTACAACAAATGCTAAAGGAACTTCTCTAAGTGAGAAACACAAGAGAAGGACCTACA